TCAAGTGATTTTAATTCAGCCTGAATATCTTCATTCCATTTTGGCCAATCGTGTCGTTTCCGACATTCTTCAATTGATGTTGGCTCATTTTCATTGTTTTCATTCATAACATTTGTGGCAACAACATAGATAAATATCTCATTAATATCAATATTTTTTCGATTCCATTGCATTCCAGTAGAAACGTAGTTTATTGAAATTTCATAATTATCAACGTTTCTATCGTTATCTGGAATATCTTCCTCCTTTAAGGAAGTTGGATCATCATTTGAGATGTTTGTTTTGTCAATATCATTTTCTATGCCAGTATTTTCAAATTGTTCATTTTCTTGTTCAGAAGGATGAACATCTTTGGCATCACATATCAATTCCCGTCTTTTAGTTTTTCTTGGTTTTATGTCTTTTGATCCAAGTGGCCTGCCACGCTTTTTGCGTATAGAAGAATCATTTGCAAGAGATTTTTCAGAATTCTCTGCTGGGATTTCGATCGTGGCAGGGGCATTCATGGCAGGAATATGTGACTTTGTCACTTTTTTTGTATGTGTGAATGTATCAGGCAACTGATTTGCAACATTTTGTAAATGGATTATCTTTTGAACTTCTTGCTCACATATATTTGTTCTTGAGTCAAGATGTGATAACCCCGTTGCATTCCATGTTATCTCTGTCGTACTTGGGTCTAATTTATTTTTTTCTCCCCCTAAGGTTGGGAACACTGTCTCATTGAAATGACAGTCTGCAAACTGTGCTGTGAATAAGTCACCAGTCATCGGTTCGAGATATTTTATTATTGAGGGAGATTCAAAACCAACATAAATTCCCAACCTTCTTTGAGGACCCATTTTTGTACGATGAGGTGGAGCAATCGGAACATAAACAGCACAACCAAATATCTTAATGTGTGCTAAGTTTGGCTCTTGTCCAGTAACTAATTCCATTGGGGAATATTCATGATATGTAGTTAGTCTAAGCCGAACTAAATTTGGTGCATGTAAAATAACATGTCCCCAAGCTGATGAAGGTAAATTACACTTCATTAATAATGGTCTAGCGATTAATTGTAATCGTTTAATCAAAGATTCGGCAAGACCATTTTGTGTATGGACATGAGCAACAGGGTGCTCCACATCAATCTCATTCGACATACAATAATCATTAAATGTTTGGGATATAAATTCCCCTGCATTATCAAGTCGGATTCTCTTTATAGAATGATCCGGAAAATGAGCTCTTAATCGTATGATTTGAGCAAGGAGTTTAGAAAATGCTAGATTTCTAGTCGATAATAGACTTACATGTGACCAACGTGTTGAAGCATCAATCAACATCAGAAAATATCGAAATGGTCCACATGGTGGGGCTATCGGCCCACAAATATCTCCTTGAATCCTTTCTAAAAATGCAGGTGATTCAGTTGTAATTTTGTTCATAGAGGGCCTGATGATCATTTTGCCAAGAGAACAGGTCTTACAAGGAAAATCCCTTGATATTGGAACCCTTATATTCTTTAATGGGTGTCCAAGTGAAGTCTTAATGATTTTATGTATCATTACATGGCGTGGGTGACCTAAACGGTCATGCCACAACATGAATGTTTTCTGATCATCTAACTTTGTATTAGAAAACAAATTTATTTCGAATGGACTTATATATATGAAATATAGTCCTGAGAAATATGCTGGCATTTTTTCACAAATATATTTAGTGCCAGATTTAGTTGTCGTGAGACAAAGATATTCCTTTTGATTTTCATTCATGGTTTCTATGTGATAACCATTCTGACGCATATCTTTAAAACTCAATAAATTTCTCCGCGATTTGCTGGAGTATAAAGCGTCATTTATAATTATTTTTGTCCCATTAGGGAGCATCACATATGCTTTCCCAGAGCCTTCAATGAGCTTTGCAACACCTGATATTGTATTGACTTTAGTTTCAACTAAAGTCATTTGAGAAAAATATATTTTATTTCTCAAAAGGGTGTGCATTGTGGCGCTTTCTATCAGACATAGCTCTTTATCATTTGAATGATCCATATCTTCAATATATATAAATAAATATAAGCTTGATCGCAAATTATGCATATTATTTAACATAAGAGTGCATGCATTACACACATTTATTAAAAAACAAAATAAAAGGGGAAGAAAGAAAAAGTACATAAAACTAGTATTATACAACTTAAGAAGTATACTGTTTTATTTTGTAACATTTTGGTTTATGGCAAAAGCATCATCCACAAAAAAATCGGACACGTCAAATTTTGGCAGAGATGGAGTTGTGTCATTGACATAATTAACTTCCATATTTTTGCCTTTGTTCAAATATATGGAAGCTTGAAATAACTCCACAAGATGTTTAACCATGCGACATTTATTAGCCGAGTGCCCCGTCATGCCACATTTATAACAAGTTGTTTTTACCGAGGTTTTTGTAGGGTGATTTATTTGATGGGCTTTTTGTTTGCCCTTGCCCTTATAATTCGGTCTGTCGACCCGTTTATATTCTCAATGATGCTTGTTATTATGACCACTAAAATGTCCACGTTTAAATTGCCTTCTACTGCCACTGTATGTTGCATTTGATTCAGTGGCTAAATTATGGCCAGATGGACCATAAAGTGAAGGACTAGAACTGGTGGGTCTCAAATTGTGGTTTTTCATCAAAAGGTCATTATTTTGCTCAGCTACCAATAATACCGATATTAAGTCGGACTATTTTTTAATACTCTTTTCTCTATATTGCTGCTGTAGCAGCATATTAGAAATATGCATTGTAGAAAATATTTTCTCCAACATATCAACATCATTGACTTTTTGTCCACATAACTTTAGTTTAAATGTTATTTGGAACATAGCAGAATTATAGTCACTGATTGATTTAAAATCCTGGAATCTTAAATTGATCCAGTCATACTGAGCTTTTAGCAAAAGTACCTTTTGTTGGTGGTCATATCTCTCCTGTAAATTGTTCCATAATTCTTTTGGGTTATCAACCAAAAGATATTCAGATTTGAGACTTTCATGGAGATGATGACGGAGGAAAATTATAGCTTTCGCTTTATCCTTGGAAGATGATTGATTATCAGCCTCAATGGTGTCTTCAAGACCATTAGCCTTTAAATGTGCTAAAGCATCAACTTTCCATTCCAGATATTTTTGACCGGACAAATCAAGAACGTCGAATTCTCTTTTGTTTATGTTTGCCATACTACAAAATTATATAAGTGTGAATTCATCATTAAACATATCACAAACTAAACTTTAAGATGTTATCTAATTGAATATAGATAAAGCATTCGTAATACGTGAACGAATAACTTGAACTATTGCAAATTGTTTGTACTACTAGTTTCATGAATATTTATATACGAACACTAACTGTTCTAATTATGTACTTGTATTATTTAAAAGGATATTTGAATTTATCTCATTGAGAAAGAAACAAAACTAACCTGCCAAGTTATTTTGTTGTGATAAGGATGACTTACACATGTTAAGCTATTATCGGTACTATTTTATTAAAGAAAATTAAGAATTAAACTGCAAGTCTACAACTATTTTTGAATGGAAAGCAAACACATAACGTGAGTATGAGCTAGCCTGGTATCATTAAATATATTTGCTGTTTTGCATGTCACTAATTAACAAAATGACAAATAAAAAGTGCAACATGCATGTGAGTTGCTTTTCCCATGCATCAACCCGTGACTTGGGTCTGATGTATGTGGTACGTGTCTCTCTCTAATAAATGAACAAAGAATGTATGTTTGAGTATTAGCTGATCTAGTGATCTTTTCCATCCTCTAGTTTTTCTTACAAAGTATTTCTTGCTCCAAGCATCTAACCATTCTCTACTTTTATTACTCACCTACTGTTCTCTCTATATTTCTATCAAGTCATAATAGCAGTACGTATATGAATTGAAACTAAATTGAAGAAAATACTTATTCTTGTTTCATCAATTCTTTTCGCTCTATGGTACGAATAAAGAGATCATTGAGATGATAAAAATTGATGCAGAGTATGTTTCAAAGGTATATCACAGAAAATTTAGTTAAGAGGGAGAATAATTTTCAAGTTTAAATACTAAAAGAAGATAATAGATATTGATTTTAATACCTGCAGGAGATGATGATTTCTTGAAGGTTTTGAGCAGATTTCGTGCTGATAACGTGTTGTGAAATGAAGAAGATGAAGACTAAACTTAAGAGATAGATATATTAATAAAAGCTTTGAATATCTTCTTCTTAATATGACAATTTCTTAATAAGTTTACAAAGAATTGAACTAACCCTATTTATACTAGTCAAGCTTAAGGATGAATCATCTAAGAATGATTCTACACAATTTGCTGGCAGTATTAGATCTACCCATCTGTCTAACTATGATTACAAGGATATGAATCAGATGAATAAGCTTATTATAAGGAACATGAGTAGCTTGGTGTTCTAATGACAAGGATGAAAAATCCACACTTGTCTTTCTCAGAAATTTACAACAAATGTGAGATTTTTGGGACACCACATAGCACAACAAATGTGAGATTTTTGAAATCGGGAGAAACTTTGCTATTCGACATGAATAGGTAGAATTTGTACTAGAAAAGTGCATAGTATGATCGGGAGTTCAGATATGTTGAATTGAATAGAGAAAAATCAAATTTCCTTGAAAATATGATGTTTATGTTAGTTAGAATGTTTTTATTTGACAAAACTTAAACAGATCTGATTTGAACAAATCAAATCAAATCACGTCAGACTTGATAGTTACTACTTTCGTTCTTTTTAATTGCAACATTGATTTTTTCCCGTTCTTCACACATTCTACTTTAATTATATTTTATTTATTGATGTATTATAAATTAAATTTTTAAATAATATTGTTAAATTTTTCTCATTTTAAATTTTCAAAATCTGATTTTTTTATTTTTTTCTAATAAGTAATGAAATATATTAACGGGATGAAGTATAAAATACACCTTTTAATATAAACATCTTTATACAAAGCAGAGCCTTCATCGATCTCTGAGTTTTTTGGGATCCTTTTCGGATTCAAAAGAGAAGAAGAAGATAACATGGCGGTGGCCAACGCACGGCCCTCACTTCACTGTAGGCCTTATTTCTACTGCTCCTCTTCTTCTTCCCCAAAAAATCATTTCATATTTTCCAGACAATATCCGATTATTATCCCCCCCCACAGCAACTGCTCGTGCATCAGTAGCGGCCGCAAGTTCTCGAAATTCATTTTTAGTGGCGGTAAAGATGGTTCAAGCTCTACTTCCCCTATTGGAAACCGTAGCTGCTCTTCCTCTTCTGATCATACTACTATTTCGGATTTGTCTGGTTGGGACTGGACGCAATGGACTCGGCATTTCACTGAAATAGAGCAAGCTGAGAGCTATGCTTCTATTCTCAAGGTTACTATTCATACGCACAACTAGATTTTCTTTGATTTTTCTGATGATTTTTTCTCAAGGCAGTCTAATAATTTCAAGTGGCATGCGTAAAACTTTAGTTTAGTTTGAAGCCGTATATATTATAGATAAATGTAAAATTAAATTATACTTAGTACTCCTCCGCAGTGGTGGATTTTGAATTTCCATTTTGGGTGTTCAATTTGTTTTTACAATAAAGAAGTTAAAGAACAATAAATAATTACACTAAATTTACCTACTTATACTTGCCATTTTTCAAATTTTTGGGTGTTCATGTGAACACTTTTGAACAATGGTGGCTCCGCCCCTGCTCCTCCGTCCGGTTGGAAGGTTTCCGTGCATGGGCGGAGCTAGGGGTGGGCCAACCTAGGCCATGGTCCACCTCAAATTTTAAAAATGACTTAATTTTTAAGGTTTTGGCACTAGAATTCAAGCGAGGAAGAATATTTTGAATTTTGCCTCAATATATGAAGTGGAGCTAATAGTTCCTAAGTTGACCACTTCTTAGTACAAACTATTTGGAGAACTAGTTACACTGATTGAAAGATTATCCCATGTGAGAGAGTTGTCATTCAGCACATGACGACAATGCTTGATTTTCGAGGTAAGAAGCTTAGAAGGCGGATTAAGCAACAAGTGGAATGAAAGATAAAGTGGTGGAGGCTCAAGAGGATCTCCAACAAAGCTTTGCACAAAAAATGTTAGATGAAGATGTATGGTGTATTGATAGAATGATAGTGACCCACACGTGGAGAATGTGTGTCATTAACAAAGTGGCAAAGGAAATATTTGGAGAATCCAAAGGATATATGCCACAAAAGAAGGACACATCTTGGTGGCATGACAATGTGAAACAAGCAATAAGAACGAAAGAGAATGCTACAAAAAGTTGGGTAAAATTTGATGCTATAAGAACATTAAGGAATACAAGGAGGCTAAAAGAAAAGATAAGAAAGTCTTGAAGGAACCACGAAGGAAAGTGAACAAGGAGTTGTATCTAAAATTTGACTCTAAGTAAAGACAAATAGTAGGAGTTCGTGATCGTTGGATAAGATATCCAAAAAGTTAAGTGTGTGAAGGACGTCGATCAAAGGGTACTAATGGAGGACGAGGAAATCAAAGAGAGTGAAGTTCATACTTTGATACCTTGTTCAACAAGAATAAAGTGAAGGACATTGATGATCTTACTATACCGGATTGTATGGTAAATCGGGGTTATATGAGAATGATCCAAATGATAGAACTTAATGAGCCTCTGAGAAAGATGGGGAAGAAGAAAGCAGTGGGTCCAGATGGCACACCGATCGATGGCTAGAGAAGTTTGGGAGAGAGAGGCGTTGAGTAGTGTTAACATGTTTCTTGAACAAGATTTGGAAAAACAACAAAATGCTAGCGAGTTTGCGGAAGAGTACTGATATTCCCTTATTTAACAATAAGGAATGTACAAAAATGTGCTAACTATCGAGAGATTAAGCTTATTATTAGTCACACCATGAAACTTTGGGAGCGAGTGATTGAGCAAATGCACTGAAAAAGTATGAAGATTTCGGATAATCAATTCGGTTTTATACATGGTCGCTCAACAACTTAGGTCATTCACCTTCTTAGCCAACTTGTGGAGAAGTATAGAGACACTAACAAAGATCTGTGTTTGGTGTTCATTGACTTAGAAAAGACGTATGATGAGCCTTAATTAGGAAAGACATATCACTTAAGTATATCAACATCATAATGATTATGTATGAGGATTGTGCTACAAGTGTATGTACTAGTTTAAGGAAGACTGTAAAGTTCTCTATTACTATCAAAGTGCAATAAGGATTGACTTTGTGTCCTTCATTATTTGGATAATAAGTGTTTCTTGCTAAGTCGAATCAAGATTTAGTATATCGAGTGCAAGTTTGGTAGAGGTAGTAACAGTGGTAACGGTGGGACTACTCTAGATTGTAAGAAGATACATGTAAGTGATATGTTCCGTTACTTGGACTCTTTAATTTAGAAGGACGATGAACTATATGAAGATGTATCTCATAGAATCATAACATGGTGGATAAAATGGAAGAGTGATTCAAGATTTCTATGTGGTCGAGGTATGCCGAGTACACGGAAGGGTAAGTTTTATCGGAGAACAATTAGGCCTACATAACTGTATGGCGTAGAGTATTGGATAGTGAAACCTCGAAAGATGAGTGTGACTGAGATGCGCATGTTGCGTTGGATGTGTAGACATACTTGAAAAAACTTTTTGAGGAATGATACAATCACTCAAAAGGTGGGAGTAGCACGTATTGAAGATAAGATGTAATAGTCTCGATTACGTTAGTTTGGTCGTGTGCGTAGAAGACCAAGTGATGCAAATGTTCCACAAGTTGAGAGGTGGGGAGAAGGGACAGAGAGGAGAGAAAGAGGAAGACCCAAACAAACATCAGCTAGAGGGTCAGGAGTGATATGATTCTTCTTGGGTTGGATGAGGTATGTCTTTAGAGAGAGTAAATTGGAGAGAGAGAATATGAGAATATTATGATTTATGATGCACATGCTCCACGAGTTGAGTGATCACTTTTCTTCATTTGCATCGTTTTAACTTATTTTTATTCTTTTTATCTTTATCTTATCTTTATCGCATCTTATCTTTTTATCTTTCTTATCTTTCCTATCTTTTTAGCTCTAATTTCATGTATCGATTCATGTTACCCGACCCCAAACTCTTTTGGACTAAGGCTTGAATGATGCTGTTGTTGTTCTATGAAAAAACTTGATTGCTATAGATATTAGCGGCTAGTTTTAAAACTGAAGGGTTCCATAGAGGCTGCAAGTACTAAGGAGTAAGGACACAATGGAGGTTGGTGATATGATATCACAGCATGTTTCCAATTTTGTTAAAAAAATTGTTTTGTATGTTTTTTGCTGGTTGCATAATGCCTGATGAGTTGGTATTTATGAATGGAAAGAATGGAGTCATCAAAATATTTATGAGAAAGTGCTTAGTATTTACACTTTTTAGAGGCAGGAAAAAGTGGATTCTTCAAGGGGTGGAGATGAACTTTTCTCATTTGGCCAAATAGTAGCAGCAGTATTTGTTAACATAAAAGCTAATATATCTTTGAGAGAAAGTGCTTAGTATTACACTATATAAAGGCAGCATATAGAGATTCATGTTATATTCTCTAGTTAAGATTGTAAAATTTCATTACCTGTCATTTTCTTGTGTAGCTTTGGTTTATGATCTTTTTATGTAGAGTAGCCTCTAAGGTCGTTGCATTGGTGTGAGTAGTGGTTAAAAAGTGAAACTAAAGAAGTAACTGGAATATTTGTGATGTTCTTCTGATGTTTATGTGATTAAAGTTTGAACTAGAAGATGCAGTAGAGAATGAAGATTTCCAAGAAGCTGCAAAGTTGAAAAAAGCCATTGCTGAAGCAACTTCAAAGGACACTATCACAGAAATTATGTCAGGACTGAAGGTAGCAATTCTAGTAAAAAGGTTATATGATCCTTTGGGAAAAATTACTGAAAATGATATGCCTCCGTTTTGATGTAATACAGGATGCAATAGCTGAAGAGCGTTACCATGATGCTTCGAGATTGTGTCGAAGCACGGGAAGTGGTCTGGTAATCAACTTTTATCCCTCTAATTTTCATTATCTATTCCCTTTGTTCTGTTAATATCCGAGTGGGATCCATCTACCATGCTCTTAAAGCTTTATATTCTTTTAAATATACAATTATATATCAAGTTAATGTATATCATTGTGGCAGTTGATAATTTTGTGTGTGTTTGTGTGTGTAACTTCACTAGTTCTTATACTAGATTAATGCTGTATTCTAAGATATATGAAACCCTCATTAGGTTGTCTTGTGGGTTACAGTTTTATAAATTGTTCAACAAGGGTATAAAAGGCTAGGCATATATCAATCTGGAAGCCTTAACTTTGTGAATCATGTGTTAAATAATTATAGAGGGCATAGAAAGCAAGAGAGGGAAAAAGGAATGTGGAGATCATTACTATCTCTGCTCCATTAATATTGCCTCCTTTCCTTTTGCCACAGACCACAGTTTATTGGAAAATATTATTATGACTATGAGTCAGTATGGTAGGATTACCATACATTTTTATAGGCAAGAGGTACATTCATTGCAAGATAAAGAGCTGGCATTAGACTGGGGTTTAAATGCTTATTGTTGTTGAAACTACCGTTCTTTCGTAATGTTATTATTACTAAAGTGTAGGGTTGTAAACGAACCGGATCGAGTCGAATAGTGTGATATTTTTATTCGTATTTGTTTAATTTTTTTGAATCTGAATTCGAATTCGAATATGAAACGAATATTAATTTTGATTTGTATTCTTATTCGTTTAACAATATGAATAGTTAACGAATCATATACGAATATCGAATCAATTTGATCAAAAGTTATATATTAGTCAAATATCACTTAAGAACAACTTTTCCTATAGATTTTTTTATGTTATAAATGCATGCTATGACTTAATATGTGTTTTTAAAATTTAATTTGTAACATTACATTTGGGCTAATTCCATGTATAGGAGTAAAACATTGCAGTTAGGCAGAAATAGGAGTTAAAAGGACTTGACCAGACCAAATTGCCCTTAATGAAAAAATTCAGGCTCTATGTTTATAATAAAATACAGAAAGTAAAAAATAAAAATTCCAGCTTCTCTGGCGCGACATCCTCACCCACAGGAAGGTCACCACTAGGGAGTGGACTAACTGACTACCGTCATCTCCTGCAACGCCGCTGACGTCTACCTCCGTCGCCACCTCCACCACACTCAGGCGTCACTGCCACCGCCACCGCCGCTGTCCTCCTCTAATGAGACTGCTGCCTCCTTCAACACCTAGATCCGCCACATATCTCCTTGTTCATGTAGAAGAATCCGAAGAATCCAGAAAACATTAATTTATAATATTATAAATTAATGTTTTCTGGATTCTTCTACACTTCATGAGGCCGCCGCCACCGTACCTCACCTCCGGCTACCACCACTTCTGGCACGATGGCTGTTGGTGATGAAATACCGGCACAGAACATGAATCCATGTAATAATGATATATTGATATCATAATGCCATCCTTGATAACAGTAATACAGATTGCCACCTGAACAAATATACCGCCATAAAATGGCATTAGGTGACAAAATGACATTGTTAGTTTGAAAAATATGGCACTATAAGAACAATATTGCTTTCTTAGTAAAGGTAATGCCATAAAAGGCATTATTTCAAAATCAATGTTTGAATCTAGGATAGTTCTGGGAAAATAAAAATACTGATTGTGCCACTTTCAGTTTCACATTTAGTGCCATAAAAATAAGATCGTTTGTTTTTGAAAGTGACATTCTGAGATTGAAAAATATATCATTAAAAGAGTAGTATTGCCATGTTGAAATTCCGATATTGAAATATATGGCATTATAAGAGTAATATTGCCACGTTGACAAAGGTAATGCAAACATATCATTCATTTCTCTTCAATGCTCGAATAAAAGCGCAGCCACATATGTATTTAGAAAGTTTGCGAATTCAATAAAAAATAGCATAATAAAAAATGAAGAAAATAGGAAAAAGTCAATAAGAATGTGGATAACAGCAAAGGAAAACAGAGGGGAAGAAGAAGAAGAAGAAAAGGGGGAAGAAAAAGGGTAAGAAGAGAAAGAAGTAGGAGGAGGACCACCTGCGAAATGATGCAGAGAGCTAAAGAAGAGGGAGACGTGGGGATTATTCTAGGGAAGAAGATGGATTTGCAGCGATTCCAATGAACAAGGGAGTTACGATGTCCATCGTTTGGAGAAGAAGAGATTGGCAACCGGAAGATGGAAGAGATGCCAGATTTAGATCTGGAGAGTCAAGAGGAAGACAGGAGAGAGATAGTAGTGTGACAGTCTTGCATTAGGAATGTGGAATTAAATTTAAGCAAGGGTAGAAAAGTCACCTGGACTCTTATTTTTGGATTAAAAAACATGGACTCCTATTTAGGAATTTTTATCATGTTTTACTCCTATCTGAGGCAAAATCTAATTAATATACATAAATCTATTCTAAAGTTTTTGAAATAAACACTAACACGTATTTATTAGAAATTATACATATAATGCGTGAAATAAGTAGATATTTAACATTGTTGATAATAAAAAAATACAGTAGGTATATGGTTTATACTATACACACGCACATATACGGGATAGTTGATGCAAACACACATACCTGGTAGTTGATGTTATATACAACAACAACATCCAAGCCTTAATCCCAAAAGAATTTGGGGTCGGCCAACATGAATCGATCTATGATATCTGTGAACAAGTATTATTATATTTCATATACTTGATATTAAAATGATATACAAGAAGCTATATTTATAGCTATATTTAGAGTACTAGGGTTTCCTATACAAGATATACAAATGGGCTAAGCCCATACTACTAGGGTTTCCACACTCCCCCTCAAGCTGGAGCATATAAATCATATGTACCAAGCTTGTTACAAATATACCCCACTCTAGGACTTCTAAGAGACTTAGTTAAAATATCTGCAAGTTGTTCAGTTGTGTTGACATATTTTGTGATGATATGTCCACTCACGATCTTCTCTCGGATAAAATGACAATCAACTTCAATATGTTTTGTCCTCTCATGATATACCGGATTTGATGCGATGTGCATTGCAACTTGATTATCACACATGAGTTGAACCGGTTTTGTGTTTCCATATTTTAACTCTTGGAGGAGATGCTTCAACCATAAGATTTCACATGTAGCAAGGGCCATTGCACGATATTCTGCTTCAGCACTAGATCTGGCAACCACAGAGTGGAACGTCTATCCATTTGGAAAAGAGTTTCTTACTTTTCCATGAAATTAAGTTTCCACCAATCAAGATACAATATCCCGAAGTGGAACGTCTATCCATCGGACATCCGGCCCAGTCTGCATCACAGTATCCCACAATATCATGGTGGCCTCGATCTTCAAACAACAACCCTTGCCCCGGAGTTTTCTTGATGTATCTCAAAACTCGGATAGCTGCATCCCAATGTCCGGTACATGGCTTATCAAGAAACTGACTGAGAACACTTACCGCAAATGAAATATCTGGTCTCGTGATGGTAAGATAATTTAATTTGCCGATGAGTCTTCTATATTTTTCCTTGTTGGGCAAAAGATCTCCCTGTTCTGATAAGAGTTTAACGTTCGGATCCATTGGTGTATCCACTTGCCTGCAATCTAGCAAACCTGTTTCCTCAAGAATATCCAAGGCATATTTTCTTTGTGAGAGAGCAATTCCATTTTGAGATTGTGCGACCTCAATGCCAAGGAAGTATCTCAACTTTCCCAAGTCTTTTGTTTGAAATTTGCTAAAGAGATGTTGCTTGAGGAGCGCAATTCCTTGATCATCGTTACCTGTAATGACAATGTCATCAACATACACAACAAGATAAATACATTTGTTGCCAGCAGAATGTCGATAGAATATAAAATGATGGACATCACTGCGAATCATGCGAAAGCTGCAAACAACGACACTAAACCTCCCAAACCATGCACGTGGAGATTGCTTCAAGCCATATAATGAACGACGTAATCTGCACACCATACCAGACTCCCCCGAGCAACAAATCCAGGTGGTTGCTCCATATAAACCTCCTCGTGCAGATCTTCGTGAAGGAATGCATTTTTAATATCCAATTGGAACAATGGCCAGTGACGCATTGCTGCCATGGATAAAACCAAACGAACTGATGCAATATTCGCTACATGAGAAAAAGTGTCAGTGTAATCCAAACCATATATCTGAGTATACCCTTTCGCCACAAGGCGTGCTTTAAAACGATCAATCTTCCCATCAGGCCCAACTTTAACCGTGTAAATCCACCGACACCCAACCACTGATTTGCCAGTGGGAAGTGAGACTAGGTCCCATGTGCCACTAGAGTGAAGTGCCTCCATCTCAGCTAACATGGCTTTACGCCACTCCGGGTTGTCCAGGGCCTCACGTGTGGTTTTAGGAATGCATACATGAGAGAAGTGTGAAATGAAAGCATAGTAAGGTGTAGAGAGGCGGTGATAACTCAAAAAGTTATATATGGGATGTGGGTTCAAAGTAGAATGCGTACCTTTTCGGAGGGCAATGGGCAAATTATCCGGAGTATTTTCGGGTGTTGGGGTAGCTGATGGCGAAGATACGGGATCCGTCGCAGGGGAATCAATCGGCGTGGCCACAGTAGGCACAATGGGAGGAGGTCGAGGTCGTCGATGGTATACTTGTAATGGGCGGTCTACCATAGGAGAGCAATTTGGGTGCCCATCAGATGGGGGTTGAATGGGAGTCTCCAGATGGATGGGTCAGAGATATGAGGTGAGGTCCAAACATGACGGGCTATCAACTGAAGATAATGGATAATGAAAGGACGACTCAATGAAAGTGACATCGGCTGAAATAAAATGTTTCTTAAGTAATGGAGAATAACAACGATAACCCTTTTGGAGACGCGAATATCCAAGAAAGATACACTTTATTGACCTAGCCGACATTTTAGCTAATCCAGGGGTCGTATCATGGACAAAACACACACACCCAAACACATG